GGCGAGAAACGCAACTATGCCGGGTATGATCTTTAAAATTCCTGGTGCAGCCATCGGGAATGTGAAGATCGACTCGGCTTCGATGTGATGAAGCGATGTGATAAGCCGTGGCTTTCGCCTCGCGAACGACGAGAAAATTGAATAATGGATTGATCGGTTCGCCGTGTACCTCTAATCGATAGGTTCTCGTTGCAATTAACAAGTCTAAGTAACGTTCAATTCGAATTATGTTACAAACGTAGCAGTTCCTTACGGCGGTCATTAACGCAGCTTTCTATCGATTACGACCTGTGCAGCGAGTCCTGTAAATCTTATCCGAACGCCCATTCGTTTACCGAATTCCGATCTGTTCACCCAATAACTCACTATAGAAAATATATCGAATCGAATACCGATCTCAGAATACTTCTATTTCTCACGGAATTCCTTAGCTACAATCAAACAGTAAATTAACATCTGCAACGAACTTTCATAGTAAAAAGCCAGAAGTAAATGAGAGATCTGGCGCGTCACATGTTGCAGTTTTCAGACAGCGTCGATTATGCGAAGTGCAGAGCGCGTCGCGTGGGAGCGACACGTTTTTTTTTTCTCCTCGAGCTCCAGAAATAGCGGCTGATGGCAGAAAATAAGTCGACGAACACGAGCAAACGACGGTAAACATCCGGCGGTAGGAAAATGCGCGAACCTCGACGAAATCCAACGCGGTTAAGCGAACGTGAGAGGTGGGCCCGCACGGTTCCCTTGCGTTAACGAGTGAAACTAGGTGAAAGTAAAGAGAACATTGCCGGCTCTTCTCATACGTTCGTCCCTTGCTGCAAGGAAGATCATTGCGAGCGAAATTGTAAACAGTATCGCGCACGGAAGCTTAGAACATGTACTACTGGCGGCAATTTCCACGTGTGTCCAAAGTGTAGACGAAGACGTAGAGAGAGAGAGAGAGAGAGAGAGAGAGAGAGAGAGAGAGATAGTTTATTTACAGCTTGGACCAATGATTCTTGATCCGAACTATAAATAAATCTACGAAAATAGTAATAAATCTATATATCATTTTTGCAATGCTCGAATCAAGATTTTAACGTATTAAGAAGTAATTACTCATGTAATTTTATTCTGTAATTAAATGAAGTTAAGAATATAGACAGTATATCTCAGTCATTCATTCATCCATATTTTTACTTGTTTATTTATTTATTTACTCATCTGGTTATTTCCTGTTTATTCGCTTACTGACTTAATAACTGGATAATGAATTAATTTACGTGTTCGATCACTTTTTTATTACATTACTTAATTTGTTACATATACATAGAGACATTGAAAGGAGCTGATTTCCACTTTTTTATTAATTTGAAAATGTGTGTGCATGCATATTTCTTTATACTTTGAAAATGTAGAACAACATTAATATACGATTCAGTCCGTCAACTGATCTTTGAGCAATTATAGAAAATCTGATGTTAATCCAACATTGATGACAATGACAGAGATTTATTACTATTACGTTTTTTTTCTCCTCGAGTTCCAATGACCTACGTCCCCGTAGTGGAAGCTAACAGAATTATAAGAGACCGGCAGACGCACATTCTTAACATTTAGTACATTAATGCAAAAGTAAAAAAAGATGCGGAGGAAATTCAAAGTCGATTTCCTCGAATACAAAACCTCAAATGAAAAAACATTTATTCCTTCGACTTATTTTCTCATATACAATCACTCCTGTATGGTTCTGCCATCAATACTGAGGCAACCTGTATTATAAGAAATGTTCACTGTTTGTTACTTCGGCAGTTTTTGGTGTAGATTTAACGCAATGCTTATTTATGATAAGTATGAAACTGTTAATCGTTTAGTTGGTTCGCCGAGCAAGGTACGTTCCATTTTCTTACGGTCCCCAATTAACATAAATTAGTCTGGAGGTCTTTTTACGTCCGCGTACCACTTTCTCAAATACGAATCGAGAGTCCTCGAGCGCGTCCTTATGGCTTCCATCGAGGAAACTCGTTCTCCTTTTCGCGTCCGATCTTCTCGATCCCCCGTCCCTTTCCGCCGCTACCGCGTTTCTTGTCGATGCCACTCGAAATGGTGTGTAATCGAGCTGTGTGGGCTAAATTTAATCGAGGCGACGTCCGCGCATTATGGCTCGCCCGTGACATATCACAGGGATTCGTTAAATTTTCCATCGAAGCCTGGCCTTCTGTACAATTCCTCCAATTGTGACAGAGGACGCGTTCACAGAAATAAAGTGCGACTTTGCTTGTTACAAATCCATATCAAATTTCAGTCATTTATTTCAGACGCATATAAATATGATAGAATATAAATTTCAAAGTTATAGGCTTCACTTCAATTGACACAAAAGTTGGAGCCATGTTAATCCAGGAGGTATTCAAGAACGAATTTCGATTCGTCTGTGCCACTTTCGTAGTGACGAATTCCACGGAAACACAGGTTGATTGGTTTCCATATCTCTGGCACTAGGCGACTAACAACAGCCCGTGCAGTCAGGCGAGTAGTCTGATCAGCGTGGTTAAAAATAGTCGCGGATCCGTGACACGTGTTTTTATAAATTGCTGCAAGCCAGACGTGGCCGAACGCTCTGAACCTGAACGAAGCTTCCTCGACTCTTCGCCTATAAATAACCTTTGATCTGAAAATTTTTCAGATCCGACGGTGACGTCAGTGGCGGTTTAGCGTGTCGTCAAGTCACTTTTTACAAGTTTACTTTTTTCTTTCCACTATCTTTACCAAACCTTTCATCGCTTCTTTCTGAATTCTGTTCGATAAGCAACGATAAGACTGAGGAGTAGTGAGAACGGATATGCCTTTGTACATTATTTGAAAAGTCTCACACTTATTAAAATACATAGTGAATCGAGCTTTTAGAAAAACAATACTGAAAGACAGAATAATGAAATGAAAGATTATCTGTGAATAATGATAAAACGATAA